TCCCCTCTCTCCTAATACCACGCTCGCACGTTTAGTCCTCGCTGCTGAAAACCTGTTTGTGTGTGTGTTTTGGGAGGAGGAGGTAGAGGGGGGGAGTTGTCAGTAGCACCCATTCCGCAAACAAGGATGCCCTGTGCACTTGGCTGTGTACATACACCATGTGTGGATGCATGTGAGGACGTTTATTTGTATGAGGCTGAGTGTCAGCGCTGGAGCGGAGGGGAAATGATGCATCACGTCTGGAGCAGAGATAAAGCGGAGGGGAAGAAGTGAGAATGGATGATAGGAGACGTGAGGCCCTAAACAAATGGCTTCTGCTCCGAGAGGGCTTTCAAACTGAATCAGTGAGGCCGCTAAATTGAAACAAAAGCCACTTTTTAGATGCTTAGAAGCTCATTTTCTGTTTGTTCTGTGTCTGATTTTGACAACTAAATGACACTTAAAGCTTAAACTGTTGAGGCCTTTCTTTGTCTCAGCTGCAAAGAGAACAAAGGCCTGTTTCAAATAGAGACACACTGTACTTATTTACTTCTTCAAAGCTAATGTCATACTTTAAAAAAAGAAGCCTCCCTTTTTTCTTATCTACTCGTCGAAATTTAGTCGCTACATAGACATGCACAGACATGCAATTTTCAACATGTTTCTTTGTACAGTACAACTACAATTAACAGCACTCAAATCTATATTTTTTTTACTTTTCTCTAATGGAAAATTCAATGTTTTGTTCGTGAAGACACATTGCCTACGAACCCTCTGAAGCCCGGGTTTTAAAAGTATGTTGTCTTTAAAGTATTGCCAACATAACACTATCTGTTAAAGCAAAAAAATAAAAATTTAAACATGTCGCATACATCACCAAGAAAAATAGACAAAAATATGCCTAAAATTGTGTTAGTAAGTTAAAATTTCTTTATTCAACTTGTCACATATTTGTGCCAAATCCTGTAAAATATGAAACAGTCTAAACTCCTCCACGCAACGGAGAAACCATGACAATGTCAAATTCATGGTTTTTATGTGAACTGCATGCTGTCAGAGCAGAGAAGAGACAGCAAGAGAGACTGAGAGGAGAATCTGATGTTCTCTCTCCTTCTCGTCATGGTTGTACTGTTTCCACAGAGGTGCAGGACTTTGCACCGCAGTGAATAAAGAACCTACAGTGAGAAAAAAATGAGACAGGAGCATAGACACAGCCAGAGTTCAGAGAGTTAAACCCCAACAGGTCCCAAATGTGTCTGTTTTTACATGTCAGCTCCTAAATCTGCCTGAATCTGACATTTTCTTGGAACTTTAAAAAAAAAGAAAAGAAAAGAGGATTTATCTCTCATACGCTCTCACTTTCCAGTTTATTAGCTACACAGAGCTAAAACAGTGCAGTCTAACACAACAGCCCTGCGATACATTCTGAAGATTAGAATATTCAGGTGTTTCTCGGAGGGACGCCTTCTGGCTGTAGTTGTGTATCGTCTCTGTTTTCACAGTTTCTTGCTTTGATAAATAGCGTAATTTTAGCATTTACGAAAAAATAATTATAAAGAAAACAGCTTTTACACCTCCAGTTTTGGGGTGTGCAGAGTTAAGCAAAATCTGTGACATCTGGCTGTACCACTTTACCTGAGACAACCCCGGGCCTTGAGAAATGAACCGTGCTGCTGGTTTGGTACGTGCATCAGCAGCGAATAATGTAAAAGCCAGCCAGAGCTGCTAAATGAGTTTCTTAATGATTGAGAGTTATTTAAACACCCGCTGCACTCACACACGTGATCTCCTCAGGAAGGTTAGAGTGACCGTCCAGAACCACGATCTGTGTCGAGAGCTAGATCCTGTTAGCCGTCTATTTCTGCTAATATGCGATGCTGATCAGGCAAAGCCACAGAGAGGACGACAAACACTGAGCGCTGCTGTTGTTCAGCCACATGCAACATGTACACACACACACACACAGGTGACAAATTACATTAGAAAGGTGTCTTAGTAAGGTGTTAGGCCACGTGCTGCCAGAAAAGCTGCAGCGGTTTTAATTGCCTTAAATTGTCCAAGTCTGAATTGTGTGATGTGATGTGTGCAAGTTACAAACAAGGGTGGCATCTTTACTGCAGAAAGTTCCTGTAAGTGTAAGTATGGAGGTAGCCATAGTTTCTGACTAAGAATCCAGTTTTTGGCTGACATTTGACCAACTTTTGAGGCCTCTAACAACAGTAGAATTTGATGTGTGGCAAATCTGGAAAGATAAGGTTCAAGTTTTTTGATGTTTTGACAATACAGTGATGTGGACTCATTCGTAGCACCACAAAAGTTGAACAATTCTGCCTGTATGTATTTTGCCATTCCATCATTTGGATCTGCAGGAAACAATTTTGTGTTTGTTGGACTTATATTTCTGGAGATATTGAACCCTTAAAATGGATTTTTAAAAAAACATTTTATTTTTTTGTTTTTTTGGGTGAGAATTAAAAAAATAAATAAATTCCACCTCTGAAAACATGAAAATCTCAAAATCCTGAGCATGTGTTTTACAGAACTTAGCTTTGGATCCCAAATAAGTAAACAATGGTGGAGCAACACATTTCCTGAATTCCTGAATTTTTTTATTTATTTTTTTACTATGTATTTTTATGAGATTTTCAGCATTAGATGCATTCTCCTCAAGGTACATACAACCCAATTATATATTTTTTTCCATCACAAAAACATCTCAAACAATATAACCCCCCATACATACATATGGATAAAAACAATGATAGGTAAAAAAAACAAAAAAAAAAAACACCAGTATTATTTCCTGAATTCTTAACCCCTATTGTGTTTCTTCACCACTGGATCTTTTCTTTATTTTAAAAATATGACAACCACCAAATGTATTGTGGAAAATAGCTCCATATTTATTCTGTAATATTTTAAATTTAGTGCTTTCCTTTAAATAAATACACATTCGCTTCATTTGATGCAGAAAAGATATACATTTATGCATAAAAATTCACCTAAAGGCAGGAAAAGAAGATTGTAGCGCACAGGTTTTTCCTTTAATTTGTCACCAGTCTGTATACACTGCTGCTTAGCTCATTAGCGCTCTCTGTCTCTTGTCTCTATTTGTCTCCGTCCCCTTGATGTGCGTCTTTGTTGTGACCACAGGTATCTCTGAACCCAGTGATATGTTAATGTTACATAGCAGGCAGGGGACGAGCGTAACTGTTGGGCCGGGCCTCCCGGAGAGCACCGCGTTCTACTGTACATCTCATCTCTGTGTCTCTACAGCATCGTTCACACATAGCCGGTAGCCACAGAGGCAATTACCATGGCAACAGCGCGTCTCATCTCTGCAAGCAGTATTGATGCGTTTTTATTGCCCCCACCTCTCCTCTTCTTCCTCAGATTGATGTTTCACCGAGTGTGGATTTGGCGACATGTCGTGAGCTTTTTATCCGCCGTCGGTGCATTTGAGAGCAGCACAGAGTGTGTGACGTTCAGCCAAATAATGCCTGGTGCCATTTTCAGTAATTATGACCTGTGTGTGTGGGTACATTTGTAGACCGGAGAGAAGAATTAGCTGCTGTAAGAACAAGACAACCTCAATCCATTATTAAGGCTAATACACTAAATGGTTGTGTCCTCCTTTCATGTTTATGGTGTATCCTGCACAGTCACATCACCTGTAATACTCAAACTGCCATGTCCCTTGACAGCCTCTCATATTTGCTTTCAGAAGACGTCTTCAGCATCTAATCTTATATTAAATCATTTCTCTTTTTAAAAAAAAAAAATAAAAAATCTTTCCCAGTGCAGTGTTGCACTGGAGCCATGTCATCAGCTGCTGTATTGCTAATATGTTCTGCTTATTTCTGACACCCAAGTGCCAATATACAATTAAATTAATTTGTTTTTTTTATTTACACAAAATTAATGCAAATCCCTGTTTTAAAGGCAGCCTCATACATGGTCAAATCTGACAAACACACAAGCCTCCAGGCTGATAAACACTTTATCAGGTGTGTTTGCTGGGATGCTTGTACAACTGACCTCCCAGGAAAAAAAAAGATTCATGACAAGAATATAAAGATTTTCTTGCACTAGGCTCAGTGAGAAAATCTTGGTCAACTGAAATCATATCTCCTCTTCAACCCATCAGTTGTTTCAATTCATTTAGATGAAGTAAATGTTCCACAGTGTTAAACTAAGTGCACTCTACAGGCTAGCCTCATTAGCCTAAATACATTTTAAATCAACATAAAAAGCTAGTATTTGCAGCACATTAAATCATTTGAACCTGACTGTGTTATACGGAATGATAAGAACAGACAGTGAGCAGACCAGCTGCACATATTCATACGATTACTGAAAATACAGACAAGTTAGCTGCTGCTTTTAGATGCTCTGTTGTGTTGGTTGGTGAGCTGTGATGTACAAACTGCTGTTTGTAAAGTTTACACTGGACTTTTGTCCATCTGTTTGAACAAAATGCAACTTCTTTGACATGGTGCCCGTTAAGTTTGGAGTAAATGTTTCATCAGTGAGACCTCTGTGTCCACTAGGTTAGGTTTGTAGTTGTGAAGACACTTAGGTGTGGACAGGTAATAAAAGGCTGTGGATGTAGAGCTTTTTTATGGACCAAATAATCATTTGAAAACATTGAATCACAACATCCTGTGGTACAAAGTTTCATGTTTTGTGTTGACCACCAACACTTCACAGCTCCAGGAAATGTGAAACCAGCAACTTTTATGATTACTCAGCAACAAGATGTATTTTCTTCATTGTAACGACAGCTTATTTGCACGAAACACTGCAGGAATATGATAGGGTGTGTATGATCTGGGGATGGAGAACGCTTGGAATTTGCTCATACAACTGAACTTTATGCCCTTGCCAAGACCAACAGATCGATTTTTTCCCCCATTTCCATGAAATACACAGAAAACAACAGATTTGTCAATGTCAACGTCAATGATGGGATCAGTAACAGGGTTGTTTCTGATCACTGTTTCTCTCTTTGTGTCTCACAGGCTTCCTACTATTCAAAGACTTCTGTATGAACGAGATCGACGAGGCCGTGCCGCAGCTCAAGTTCTACGAAGAAGTAAGTCCGCAGTGTCCCGAGTGTCAACGGGATTAGAAGGCATCATGGGATGTGTGAGAGATTAGGCCTCCGATCCCCTCGTTCAGATTAAGGCCTCCCAGGAAGCGCTTTGTGTTGTTTTGTCATGGCACTACACTGACCTTGTGTGTGTCCGTTTCAGATTAAGGACTACGAGAAGCTGGACTCAGAGGAGGAGAGGCTGAGCCGCAGCCGGCAGATCTACGACGGCTACATCATGAAGGAGCTGCTGTCCTGTTCACATGTGAGCACGTCACTCGCTCTCTCTGGGTCAAGTACATGCAGACAAACACCTGAGGCTGCAGGGGTTCTCTAATCCCCCTCTTAATTAGTTACAAGAGAAGTCTGAGCTTGTTAGATGATCAGAAGACAACAAAGAAAAAGAAAAACACATTTTTCTTGTAAAATCTTGGATAAGTTTGTTTCTACAGGTCTATAAAATATATCTGAGAATTGCAACTAAAGCTGCAATCAAGATTATCTTCTTGAACATTTTGACTGTAAAATGCTTCTCTTAAATGTTTTCGGAAGGCCAAAGTCATCAAATAGTCATAAATATAAAAATCCCTGAATTAAGTTCAATTTATAAAAGGAAAAATGCAGAAAATCCTCACAAATTGAAAACTAACTGAGGATTTCTTGACATTTCTACATTTAAGGTCTTAGATAATGCCTCTATTCTCAGGCTGGTTGCAGATATGTATCTGGCGATCAATTAATGAACTAATGTTGTTGCTCCAATATTCATCATTAGCTATTCTAACCTCTTGACCTGCCAATTCTTTTGTTGAATAATGAATTTATTTGGAAGTTTAAAAAAAATCTCAGATTATATCGAAAATGCTTATCACAGAGCTGTTATCTCCTTTCATTAGTTTTCTCTTAAATTAAATTCATTCTGGACTATAGCTATGAAAAAGTTCTCATCTGACCTCCTCAGAAATCAGCTGATCTTTTATGTGCAACGCCTTTAGTATATTTAATAAAGCTATGCAAAATGTTTCCTTCCTTTTGTGAAGATTTTCAGAGTTATGGGCCTCCTGAAGAACATATGAGATGGGGTGGAATTTAAAATAGAATTTGACTTATTTTTTCCAGTGTTTTTAAGCCCTCATAACTTCCTAAGTACAGAAGATAAATGCATGAAATTATCAGGAATTAGAAACACATTTGAGCTCAACAACATCAGTTTTACATTCACTTTAGTCCAAAGTCCAAATCTGTTTTTTGTTGTGCTCTATTATTTGTATAACCAACTTTATGCTTCAATTAGTATTTAAATTATGAATCAATTGACGATTTTTCAGTAACATCCCTGGTAGTAACTTTATATGAGGTTATAAATATAAATAAATAAAGCTTATCTTGAATCTTGAAGTGACGCTGCATCATTTTGTCTAAATAAAGACAACAACAATAAAGACTGAGACTGGAATCATGTACATGTGATTTACGAACTCTAAAAACGTAGATTTAATGTAAGATACTCTATGAAGACTGCTCTGTGGGGACCCAGTGTGATGATGGGAAATCCTTACAGTGTTTTTGGACCTCTCCAGGCTTCCCTCAAATCCCTCTGCCTCTAACAGAATCGACTGGAACGAGTCCACAGTCACAGAAACACACACATCCACACATCACAGCACAGCTTTTGTCCTGTGAGGCAACAGTTTGGGATGTAAAGTAAAGTTAGCGCTGCTGTCTGAAGGGAGGAAGTTATTAAACACGCCGCCCACACACACACACACACACACACACACACAAACAGATATTATTGTCGGTGGTGGCTACAGAGCAGCTCATGTTACACCAGGACGTCCTTGCGCAGAGAAAACAGAACTGAAATCACTGGTGAAGCTGCATTTTTAATGACCTTTCATTTTATTTCCTACTCTGTGTCGCAGCCATTTTCCAAGAAAGCAGTGGACCATGTGCAGACTCACTTGACGAAGAAACAAGTTCCCCCAACTCTCTTTCAGGTAAAACAGCTGCCAGTTTGTGTCTGAACAGCACAAGACATGCAGATAACATGGCTGTAGTTCATTCCAAGTCACAAGCAAAGTCATATTTTAACTGTTAGACCTTTTCTGATTGTGACGTGTTTTTTTTTTTTGGTAAATGACATAAATAATGCAGCATGAAATTGCCAAGAAGGACATGATAAAACAAACTTAAATAATGCTAGTCAGTCCGTGTGAGTTTGCACATCTGAGGGTGCGAATGACATGCACACACAAACAACCCCAAGTTTTTGGCACTTGTGAGGACACTTGTTGAAATAGTTCATCCACTAACCCCAACCTAAACTGTATTCCTACCTTATCTCTTGATTTTTCTGTATTATTTGAAGCACTTTTGTGTGAACAAGTTTGCCTTAACACCAAGTCTGAGCCCTTAAATAGTGCTTTGAAGTTGTGAGAGGTGGCCAAAATGTCCTCACTATGATTAAACCAACACACATCAGTCACAACGGCTGGTGACTAATGTGATTATGTTATGGTCACAGTAAAATCAAAAAATTCTGACACTGTCCCTTATGGGGGCAACCCGATGACCATGGGGTGAGGGCACACATCTCATGAGTGCAGATGTCTTTAAACAAAGAGCCTCTGGTTCAATTCTCAGTTGATCTGAAACTTGATGGCTTGACATTTTCCTGTTCTCTTTTGCACATTTCCCATCTATTCTTGCTGTCTCTATCTAACATGGGCAAAAATGCAAAAAGTCATCTTTAAAGTAAGAATCCAACTTGATTTAAATTTGGCTGCAATCCACGTTTAGTCGTCAACAGAAGTCCTGTTCTGTAAACATGTCAAGCACAACAAAAGATGTCCTAAACTGTGTCAAAACAGTGGCTCTTGAATTTAATTTTGGGGAGGAGGAGGAAGTAACAGGGAGACAAATCTGGCAAGCCAGCCAGGTGGAGAGCGCAGTTTGTGTTGTTGTGGCCAAAAAACCTGAGTGTAATCACTACACGATGCACTGGCAGACACATATGCCATCACAGTCAGCTCAGGTCATTTGCTCTAAATATTCTCCCTCAGACACCTCAGGGTGTCACAGCAGAAATCTCTCTGACAGTCCAACCTGGATCCATGGTGCACAACCACGTAAATGTTGAAGAAAAATGTGCCTTGTGCTTCTGACCTGATGTTCCTTCTCCGGTCTCGGAGACTGAGCCTTTTCCACTGTGAAAGTTTCTGGTGGAAGCTGCAGACCTCCTCAGTGATCCTCCACATGAAGGTTGGATCATCAAGCTGCTGACTGACTCAGAATGTGATGTTTGCTCTCTGCTCCAGTTTGAACTCCATGAAAAAATGGCAAACGTGCATCCACCAGTGGTCCCAAACCATGTGTAACAACACTCTGTTAGCAGGTTTTTAGAACTGAAAAGGCTCCATTGAGAAGCCTCTGCCTTTGTGACTTTGAAAGTTCTGGCTTTCAACTCAACATACCTCGCAAATCCTTAATCTCACTTTATAGTAAAACCCTCAGGTTTGTGAACTCTGGATGTTCACATATTCAAACAAAAAGAAGATCTTGCCAGGATGCTCATGACTATGTAAACACACTCATTATATTTCTCTTATAATCCACAGCAGTTTTGCTGGCGACGGCGGGCTCATCTCCTTGTCTTTCAGTCCGACAAAAAAAACAAAACAAAAACTAACAACCCCAAAAGTGACACACGTTGTGTTCAGCTAGGTCCACCAACCCCACTGCGTCTATTCTGGGAAACTGGTTGTCCACTCCTTAAAGGCTGTCATATGATTGGTTGAAAATAACTTTGAACGTGTGACTATTAAGAGTTTGTCGAGACGTTTTCGGTCAGTCGGAGTTTCCATTTCCTGGAGTTCTCTGTATCTTCATCATATCACCCTGTCCGGGTTTGAATATAGTATGTTTTCCAGCATTATTTTTAAACTCTGCATTCTCAGATTCATACAGCTGCTAATTTAACATTGAGTGTAAAGCATCAAGTGCCCAAAGGCCACCCAGGGCAATATCTTACAGAGCTACATGGACAAGAGTGGTCTTTGAGCAGAGTAAATCTAATCAACTATTCCCTTTTTAAGACAACAGCACAGTTGTTATTCTGGGTATAAAATTATCCCCAGTGACTAAATATTCCCTCAAAGATATGACATCAACTTGTCACTATTTCCTGTATTTTTTCTTTGAATTAAATGTTCAGATAGAACACAGAGGCGTCTGTGAGGCTCGCAAAAGACAAAACATAAACTCTAACAAGGCTGAACCAACCTGAGAAAACCCTAACAGCAGTCCAGCTCTGCCTTTATAACAATACACAGAAGACACATTCACAGACATTTGCAAAGGATTTTTATCACATCGTTATTAAGACGGCCAAGCAGACAGTGAAACCTGAGCTGCTGTTTCTGTGTGTCCCTCTGCAGCCATACATAGTGGAGATCTGTGACAGCTTGAGAGGGAAGATCTTCCAGAAGTTCATCGAGAGGTGAGACGGGGAAGATTAAGGGAGTTCCAGCGTTTGTTGGCCTCATACAGTCGATTCACATTTTAACCTGTGCGTTTCTCCCCCCCCCCAGTGACAAATTTACTCGTTTCTGCCAGTGGAAGAATGTGGAGCTCAACATCCACGTGAGTAAAAGCATTTCAATTCACTTTCACACCTATAGTTTGGATGCTTTGCCATGGAAACTGCAGGTTTCCTTCCTGTTTGTACGCAGATATTTATGGTAAACATATAAAGGTTGATGAGAATGTTAGTGTTCCATTGGTAATCTACTTCAGATTACCGTTTTAATTTTGCTCTGTTGACTTATTACAACTCAACCGAAAGGTGTAAACATCACCTGATGTGGACTGACAGGTAACTCAGTGGGGCAGATTTGGTGAGTCATGCTGGATCAAAACAGCGTTTTTTTTTACGGGTGACTGACAACAAGTCATGCAGCATTTTACTGCACCCTGTGTCTGTATTTATTTTCTCAGGTGTTCCAAATACATATGTCATTATAAGCACTATTTATCAAGTGCCGTAAGTGTCATTATTGGAAAAATCAGCCTGTGCCTCCCACCTGACCCCTTCAGAATCAACTGATTTGCCCAAATTAGAAAATTATTTTGACACAGAAGGAATCATGGTTAGAAGATGAGACCTTTCATTTGCTGCAGCTTGTTTTGACCAACCACCTGTGTCACATGGTGATATGAGCCTTGAAAGCTTGTCTAGAATGAACTTCAAGCTTGTAAATTTTCTTCAGTGAATTATCAGAGAACACAGAAACACATCCAGGGTACGAATGCTTGTTTTTATGACTCTGTCATAAACATTGAACTGCTGCTGTTTTGCTGTTCAAACTATAAGCATCAATATCACAGGATATATCAAAGTTGGTTAAAGAACAAGTGGAGTGAAACAATAACAGATTTTGTCTTTCCATTGTTACACCTTTGGTCGCAGATTTTAACAACAATCAAATGTATTTTTCATGCCTGAATTCATAAGTCTGTCCCCTGTACTTAAATAACACAAATTTAAAAGCACCAAATTTCAAACCACCCCCTTCAGGGGCGTAGAAATACACACACACACACACACACACACACATATATATATATATATATATATATATATGTATTTTATTTTATTTTTTTTAAATGTATTTATTTTTTTAAACTGTATTTATAGTATGATGGTAACATTTTGCATTAAATATGCTAACGTTATTATACATTGGAAAAACAACTTCTAAAGCAGCTACGTGGGAACTCTGTTCAAATTTGGTTGGTTTTGTATAAAATGACCCACTTGGTCCTATAGTATCATGGATGGAAAAATTAGTGTATTGAATGAGTTAATTCACACTAAAATCACACATTGATTTTCCCAAATCACAGGATAAAATAATGAAAAATGTGTAGAAACAGTGCAGAAAGAGGCATTTTTTAAATTATTAATTTACTGACCCCTTCCAGACAAGTGTTGTGCATATACATAAAGCATACACAGCACAAGTACTTGCTTGAGTTCATTTGCAATCAGACCGACACCATCCTCCAGGTGGGATCAGTTGTTTAGTACGAGTCAGACTTCTATTAACTGCTATAACAGCAGTCTTTACTGATCTGAAACAAACAAGAAAATCCAGTCGGTTTGCTGTTTTAGGGGTGAAAGCAGTTCTAAAGGATGTTTCTCTGCTCCTCTCTCCTCCTTCAGCTCACCATGAACGACTTCAGTGTGCATCGGATCATTGGCAGGGGTGGCTTCGGGGAGGTGTACGGCTGCAGGAAGGCCGACACAGGGAAAATGTAAGGGAAACAGAAAATAACAGAAACAAGCATCGCAGCGCTGCCTGCTCATGTGTAATCTGTGCCATTTGGCGTTTGAATGGCAGGTACGCTATGAAGTGTTTGGACAAGAAGAGGATCAAGATGAAGCAAGGCGAGACTCTGGCACTCAACGAGAGAATCATGCTGTCATTAGTCAGCACGGGGGTGAGTTCCATGCCACGTTTGAACTAAACTAAATCAGGCAACACGTTTAAACTTTGCCTGGAAAATAGGTCACAACACACAAACTTGCTCATATGAAATATTTACATCCTTTAACCTCCCGCTGCTGCTTTTGCACCGTTAACTGAACGACCTGACAAAGCTGATGTAGCGTTCTATATTATGATATATTTAGAGTGAAGAGTAGACAAAGTGTTATAGAATATGGCTGACATGTCTGACCTGTGACTTTTTCTAAAAGGCTGTTTGATTCTGATAAATTGGGAAGTTTAAAAAACATGACAGAATAACAGTTACTTGCCAGTAACCTGCATAATTACAGTTTACATTAAAATACTCTCCCCCCCCCCCTAAAATAGTCAAAAATAATTTGGTTTTGTTCAATATATAATTTGTAGTTCCTGTTTACTTTACACTGCTTTTTTTTGGCATAGAGGAATTTTTGTTGCCTTCAGAGATTTTTTATGCAGCACAGTAATGACAGTCAATCTGTGTCACCTTATTTGACAGAAATTTCTGCATTTTACTGTTATTTCTGACTATTTGATTTAAAAAATATCCAATTTGCTGACTAAATAAAAATTTTTAAAAATCTTATTCTCATTTCTTTACATTGTGTAACTGGTAGTTTCACTTTTGACTCACTGGGAAAAGCAAAAAAAAAAAATCTATATGTAAGGAAGATTGAAAAAAAAAACCAAAACCCTCCTGTATATATATATATATATATTTTTACCAACTAAAACACAACGAAAATGGTTAGAAATAACCAAAAAATACAGATTTCTGCCACACAAGGTGACACAGATTCATCATTCATCATCGCCTTCACTGTAGGCGGACAGCACATGCTTATTGTTTGCCATTGTTATCCAAGTTTCTCAATTGTGTGCCTACATCTTTTATTTTCTTAGTCTAAGATCTGCTGTTTCAAACTGTCTCAGTGATACAAACTGTTACATGGCACAAACATCAACGAAACAGCTGAAAATCACAAATGATATTGTTCAGTCCGACAAACACAGAAATCAGTCCCATTATTAACAGTCCTGGTCCTTTGTCCGGTAACATAAAACCCACTGCCAGAAATGTGGGAGTACTTTTTGATTTAGATTGAAGCTTTGAAGCACAGATCAAACAAAATATCCACTCCTGCTTCATTCAAATCAGAAACATCTCCAGACTGTAATCATTTCTCTCATACTCTCCCCTGAAAGAATCATAATTACAATAATAATAATAATAA